GGGTTCCAGTTCCAGCATATTGCTTACCACACGGAAGAGGCAAGTAGCTGAATACGGTATTCTCAAGCCGCCATTTGTCTACACAGTGCGCCGCCTCATGAAAAACGACGCCTGGAAGTTATTTATGGAAGAATACCGGCGACACAATCAAGGTACGTACCTATATTTCTCGGCCATCCTAAAAGCTGTTATTAAATCCGGGTTCCAGCATATTGCTTATTTAGTGGATACAATTTTTTTTTTGGGAGTAAATTTGTTGTTCCTTTTTTGTTAAATAACCCTCGATTTCTCGTGGCAGAAGATAAACTCAGCGCAGAGAAGGAGAATATAGGGAAGGAGATGGTGAAACGCTGTGAAGGGGTCCCATTGGCGATCATCAAACTCGGTCAAGAGTTGGCAGGTAAAGAAAGCCTGGACGAGTGGAGTATAGTGCATCAAAACTTGATGTCATTTCTAACTGACAATGTACTACAAGTTTTAGCTCCGAGCTTTGATGACTTACCAGATCACCTCAAACTATGCTTTATTTATTTGGGCCTTTGGCCAGAAGACTCAGTGATAGATGCAGAGAAGTTATATCACTTCTGGATCGTCGAAGGCTTAGTAAAGCCGCAAGATATCAGAGTCGGAGTAACAGCGTTAAATGTAGCAGAGCAATATCTAACAGAACCTGCAAGGATGAGTATGGTTGAGGTTGAAGAAGAGGATGCTCCAAGTGTTAGAAGGCTCAAATTTTGCCGCGTTACCAGAATGATGCGACAACTATGTATATCAAAGGGTAACCAGATAAATTTCAGCCACAGGATTGATTCTTTGGTAGGTTCAAATTCCACTTCGTCATTTTTAAGAAACAAAACAGGACGCTTGTTCGTGTGTCTAGAAAAGCTAGAGGATAGCGGCATTCTGGCCAAGAAACAGCACACTTGGAACCTTCATAGCCTACATATCCTTGATGCACACAAGCGGCAAGCCAAGAGACCTGTACGGTTGTCAGGCAAGTTTGATGTTGAGGAGTTAAGGTTGCTTAGACTTCTCGATTTTGATGGGGCTGAAATTGGATGGGACGAAATAGCAGCTGATGGGAGGTCAGTTATTAGACGGAGTGAATTACTGGAAGGGATATCCAAGCTAGTTCGCTTGAGGTATCTGAGTTTCAAGAGATGTATTTTGACTCAGTTACCAGCGGCTATTAGTAATTTGCTATGCTTACAAGTACTTGACTTGCGCGTGGATGATTCGATTACTGAGGTGATTCTGCCAAACGTGCTATGGAAGATGAGAAAAATGAAACATCTATATCTTCCACGGATGTTTCGAACATACACTGGAGACAAATTGCGGTTAGATGGCTTGACAGAGCTTGAGACACTAGAGAACTTCATCACAAGGGTGTGCAACGTTACTGATCTGCAGACATTGACCGAACTTCATAACCTAGCTGTGAAGATTGACGGTGATCTCACTGACCTACAGTTCATCAACGAGCATCTGAAACAACCTTCCAACAAACAGATCCAGTTGTCTATTGATGTCAGAAACTTTGACTGCTTTGTAGATAACAGGCATTCTGTTATCAGGGAACTATTACAGTATCGAGCTATCCGAATTTTTTGCATTGAGGGGCATATCCGCGAGCTGCCACCAAAAAACAAAATCTCCCCAAGTTTGACTAAGTTAGTCCTGATTGGCTCTGAACTTGAGAAAGATCCTATGGAAAGTTTATCTAAGCTTCCCAATTTACGGGTTCTAGTCCTCGATGATAATGCTTTTGAAGGGACGGACATGGTCAGTCCTCCTTCTGGTTTTACTGAACTCAAACGTTTAGAAATCTTGAATTTGATATTTTTGGAGAGTTGGACTATACAAAACAATTCTGTGCCCAAGCTTTCTAGCATAAAAATTGAAAATTGCCCGAAATTGAGGATCCCAGATGGCTTCAAGTTCCTCGCTGCTCTCAAAAAATTGGAGATTGCAAAGATGCCTAAATCATTTGCAAATATGCTCTGCGGGATAGATGGAAGACGAGACGAAGACACAGACATAGTAGAGTATGTGAAGATCACTTTTCCGATAACTGATGGTGAGCTACCTATCCATGTCTTTACTATTTACAGTCAAACCTCTCTATAACAGCATCCCTGTATAATAGTCATTTATTATAAAAGCTAGCCAAGTCATTCTCGGAACTGATTTGTATGTTATGTTATAATATATGTCCTCTGTAACAGCACTTCACGATAGCAACAAAAAAATATCGGAACAAACGAGGTTATTATAGAAAGGTTTGACTGTATTCCTATTAAACTATTCCCTCAATAATAATAAAAAAGGCGCTATAATTGAAATCTATTTCTCCAATTGTACTAAATATTTTATAAGATTAATATCCCAAGATTAAACATGATCCTTTAACATTTCTCCTTGTTTACAGAGATAACCAGGTCACAAGATGAAGCCTCCTCATCAGATGTGCATACAGCTTAACATTCCATGCTGCTATCAATAAAAAATGGTGAAAGACCCTCTCATTGTTGAGTTGAAGTTCATTCCTGCTTTTTTTCCTTTTTTTAAATGTTGCACTCGAGAAGAAGTTTTGTGATTATTTGTTATTTTTTGAAGACATTGCCATGTTTGTGTGTGTTTAATTTATGAAGGGACTGAATTGGATTATGGTTCACCACTTTTTTCAATTAATAAACTAATACTACGTAGTAGTTTGTTTAGCTAAGTTTTTAAAATCAGCTTATTTTAATTTATTTTTCTCAAAAGTGTTTTTAAAGAAATAATTTTGGTCAGAAGCAGTTAGTATGTTTTAAAGTGTTTTTTTTTTTTTCCAAAAGTACCGGTGATAAGTTGCTTGTGTTTAGTTAATTAATTTGAAAGCCACTTTTGAGCAGCAATTAATATTTGACCAAACTCTTAAAAGTACTTCTAAATGTATTTTATGTAAAAAATACTTTTCAAAAAAATGCTTTTGGAAAAAAAAAACTGCATTTTTCTACTTCTAAAAAACTGCTTCTACTCAAAAGCACTTTTTCCTTTTAAAAGTTTGACCAAACACCTTTAACTTTGAAATATTTTTGGGCAAAAATTACACTTTTGACCATAAAGAAGCTTGTCCAAACAGGCTATTATAAGTGGCTATCCGAATGATTGTTTAATGAGCATCAATTTTACATACAGGTTTTTAAAAATTATCCGATTGTGGATACGCCACTTCAAATTTCTCACATAATGAAATCATTTTGAAAAGATAATACAGTCAAACCTCTCTCTAACAGTCTCATTTGTTTCGATATTTTGGATTTTTTAACTTTTAGCCCGTACCAGAAATAATTTGCATTCAGTAGGCAAAAAAGTGTATAATATTTGTATAATTTTTGTATATAACATACATAATGTATATATACAAAATATATATATTCATCTATTATTTTTAGAGCGACTATACAGTATCATTTTCTATATATTTGGTTGTTATAGCAAGGTTGTTATACAATTATTACAACATTTGATATTTAACTATTATTGACTATTATAGACACAAATTATATCTTTTCCTTTTTTTAATGTTACAAATAAAAATAAGAAAATTATTCAAATTTAGAATCTCAAAGAATATGCACGTTTAACTAATTTATTATTAAATAAAGCTAATATATTATTTCTCCAAGACACACAATTAAAGCTACTTAAAATTTAAAAAGTTTCAATATTGGTAGAAAAATTCTATAATTATAGCTTATTTTGTAGATTCTTGTCTGCCTATATAACGCTTGAATTGATGAAACTTTTACCAAATTTTCAACAAAAGATACGTGCAGACCTTCAAATATTAGATATTATGCACGATATAACTTTAGTGCAATGGAATGAAAATATAAAAGTATATTTTTAATGGAATTGGATGAAACCTTTAATCATTGAAGTATGTATTAACAAATATTCTTCATCAGAAATGGTGTACTAAATTTTTAAAAATTTGGTCAAAATCTCTGGACTTATCATTGGTAATCGTAGAGATTCTACATATATAACTGTTCCGAGAAAAACTTAACTTTTATTGAAATATTATTTATAGAAATAATATTATAGATGAGTCTGACTATATATTCAAAACTTGTTCTAAAAGGAGAAAAAAAAAAGGAAGACGGCGAAAGAAGGAAGATACATGGCAATACAGCCTTATATTGAGTTGACATACTTAAATAAGACTAGTCTTCCGATGAGCGCGTTGCGTGTGTATCCCGTCTCAATAAATACATATTTTTTAAAAATTACACAAATACTATATTAACTAATTACATTTGAGTTAAAAAATAAGTTTAAGAGAAAAATATGAGTTTCTGAAATGATGATTGTTGATTTTATTCATTAGCAACTCAATAAATGAAAAAAAATAGTAATAATATAGAAGTCCTCAATCATCTTAGTCAATATTTTTAACTTAAGATTTATTCATTGCTAAAATTTCATAAGTTGTCATGCTTATTTTTTACTTTCATCGAGAACACAATATTTTTTGAAGATTTAAGAGTTTTTTCTTAAATCTTTTTGAGAAGTATAGATCCTTAAATTCATTCTAAAACACACACATAGAATCATCTAACTGATAATAGATGTAACAGTCCGACCGGTCGTTTTGAGTTTTTGTACTTTGCTCGCCAGTTTTCAGGCATGACTAGCCCCGTGTGATGTATTATAACTTATGTAAATCGTCGGTTTTGGTTTTCATGGTCCTGCGAATGGATTTGGAAGAACAGTTCTCAGTTTGAAGCTTAAAATTTGAAAGGTTTGACTTAGTTTTGACTTGTTAGTATATGATCTCGGATTGGAGTTTTTATGATTTGGGTAGCTCCGTTAGGTGATTTGGGACTTAGGAGCGTGATCGGAATGTATTTTGGAGGTCCGGAGTAGGTTTAGGCTTGAATTGGCGAAATTGAAATTTTGGCGTTTTCCGGTTGATAGGTGAGATATTGATATAGGGGTCGGAATGGAATTCCGAAAGTTGCAGTAGATTCATTGTGTCATTTGGGAGGTGTGCAAAATTTCAGGTCATTCGGACGTAGTTTGGTAAACTTTTTGATCAAAAGCGTAATTCGGAAGATTTTGGAACCTTAGGCTTGAATTCGATGTTGTTCGAGGTATTTTGAGGATTGGTATAAGATAGAATAATGGTATATGGCTTGTTGGTGCTTTTAGTTGAGGTCTGGGAGGCCTCGGGGTGATTTCGGATGGTTGGCAGAAGGTTTGGAGCTAAGTATGGGAGCTGAAGCATTTTTGGCTGCTGTCATAATCGCACATGCGGTAAGGAGGACGCAAGTGCAATGCCCGCAGAAGCGGAAGGCAGCCGCAGATGCGGCCAAGTAGAAGGTTAGCGGGAACCACAGATGCGATCGAGGAGGCGCACCAGCGGTGGCGCAGGTGCGATATTTCAACCGTAGATGCGGAAATAGTCAATTAAGTGAAAACTGTAGGTGCGGTGGTCTAGACCGCAGAAGCGGGACCGCAGGAGCGGGATTTGGACCGCAGGTGCGAAAAGCCTGGGCCAGAAGGTATAAAAGAATTCCTTCGCGATTTTTTAGTTGTTCTTCACCATTTCAAGTCGGTTTTGGAGCTTTTTGGGAGCTTTTGAAGAGGGATTCAAGGGATAACGTCTGGAGGTAAGATTTTTGAACCTAATAATCGATCATATGGCATTATTTCACTGATTTGGCAAAAGATTAATGGAAATTAAGGGTTAAAACAATTGGGGATTAGGGCTTGGCATTGGAGACCTTGACTTGGGATTTGAGGGGTCATTGTGGTCGAATTTTAGGACTTTTGATATGTATGAACTCGTGGGGAGATAATGAATCTATTGATGTAAATTTTATCGAATTCTGAGACGTGGGCCCAGGGGTCGGGTTTTAGTTAATTTCGGGATTTATGTTGTAAATAGATTATTTTCGCATGGGCTTCGTTCCCTTAGCATATTTTGACGTCGTGATTCTGATTTTTGGATAGATTCGACATGAGTTGAGGCCGATTCAAGGGGTAAAGGCGTCGCGGGCTAGAGTTTGGACCAGATTGAGGTGATAATGATTGTAAATATTGTTCTGACGGTATGAAACCCCGGATTACACATCGCGGTGCTATGTTGAGGTGACGCACACGCTAGATGTTGAGCGTGGAGTCGTGTACCGTTGGGGATTGTGACTTAGTCCATCCCGAATGATTGTTTTACCGCGTATTTAATTGAAAACTATTTGCTATCATCCTGTTTTGGTCTGAATGCCACATTTGAGCCTCGTGCCAACTATTTGGACCCTTAGGGGATTTTTACTACTATTCCTCACTGTTCTGACTTTGTACTTGTACTCAGTCATGCTATATTCTACTGTATTCATAACTCAGCCATGTTTACTCTGTTTTAACACATTAAATGATATTTTGGGTTGAGCATCATGTCTTACTATTGCCCGATTGGCTTATGAGATTCTGACTGAGTAAGGCAGAGAGCCTGTATTATGAGGATACTTTTGGGTCGGGCTGCACGTCGCAGCAGTGATACACTGATTTATGATTATGAGGCCGAGGGCCTGAGATTTGTATGCCACAAGGTGGCTTGATATAAGGCCGAGAGCCTATTGATTATGCCACGAGATGACTTGATATTGCGCTTGGGCCGTAAGGGGACCCTCCTGGAGTCTGTACACCCCCAGTGAGCGCGGGTACCCATTGTGATATGAGATATAGCTCGAGGGGCTAGTGTTGTTCCTCGTTATAACCCGAGGGGCTGATTCTGTTGATATTGTGCCCGAGGGGCGGATTTTATGTGTTTATCTTTTCTAGCTGCCTTTCATTTACTTGGTTAACTGTTAAAAAGGTGTTTTTAAGAAGCCTATATTGAACTAAGGTGTTATATGAGATTTCATTATTTTATTGCACTTTATTGGTTTTACTCTGCCTCGTTATAGCATGTTATTGTGTTTTTTACGTGATTTCTTATCGCTCAGTCTTCATTTATTGTTATTACTCACTGAGTTGGAGTACTCACTTTACTCCCTGCACCCTGTGTGTAGATTCAGGAGCTTCGAGTCCCGCCAGTGAGGTTCATTGTTCCCAGCAGGCCATTTGGAGTCCACGAGGTAGTTGCTCGGCGTTCGCAACCCAGTGTTCCTCCCTCCTATCTTACTTTCTGTTTTCTAGTTCTGTAATAGACTGTGTAGACTCTTTCAGACTTTTAGACTTATGTTAGATGTTCATGACTAGTGACACCCCGATGTCGGGCTGTATTGGTTTTCCCGTAAATTGTACTATTTCACTATTTTTTTTTGGGAATTAATCATGTTAATGACTTAAATTGTGATATTTTAATTGTTTAAAATGAATTGGGTGTTGGTCGGCTGGCCTTGTCTTCACCAGAGGCGCCATCACAACCGGGTCCGGGTTTAGGGTGGTGACAATAGACCTTCTTCATTTTATCACAAGCAAAATATAAATTATTTTATTTCTTTAATTAATAACAAATACTACAAAAATTGTAAAACAACTAAAAAAATTTGAAAATTTGGCCAAATAGACTTTATGTTAGAGAGACAAGTGTCGAACATTATCAATGAGCTTACGTCTTATATTTAGATGGAAAAATCATTATATTGTTATGATGAATATCACAATATGGTGGATGTCTAC